CTCATATGGAATGCTGGCATCACAGATGGAAGATAAGCTTGCTATGCCACTGCACATGCCCCCATTTTTTTTAAAGATATCCTGAAAATTAGAAATTTATTGGCTTATATATACATACATGTTATATATATATGTGTGTGTGTATATATATATTATATATATATATAATAGATACACATATAGATTATATATATCAGTTGTCTCTAGGCCCTGAATTTTTAAAATTTAGCGTGTAACTTTGCTATTCAGAAAATCTGCCACTGTTGAAAAGCGAGTGTTTTTGTATAACTTTAGATGGTCAGGACACAACACTCATTGCTAAATCCTCTCCTTGCATGTGCCAGGATCCCATATGGGTGCCAGTTTGTATCCCAGCTGCTTCACTTCCCACCAAGCTCCCTGCTTGTGTCCTGGGAAAGCAGTGGAAAAGGACCCAAAGCCTTGGGACCCTGTACACATGTGGAAGACCCTGAGGAAGCTCCTGGCTCCTGGCTTCGGATCAGCTCAGCTCTGACCATTGTGGTCATTTGGGGAGTAAATCAATGGACAGAAGATCTTTCTCTCTGTCTCTCCTTCTCTCTGTTTATCTGACTTTCCAATAAAAATAAAGAAATAATTTTTTTTAAAAAAAAAAAAAGACCTTTAAAATAAAAGCTACTTTATATGGTCAAATCATCATTAGTATACAAATATGAACTGATAGGTGTCAGATATTTAAACAGTTCACAGAGAATGCGTATCACATGTTAGCAGACATGTACACTGCCCCTGAGCTGTGGGCATCTCTGTTGTGAGTGTTGCTCTGCTGATCTAACCTAAGTGCTTCTCCCCATTCGCCTGGCAGCAGTTCTCTAAGGGCGCTGCAGTTGCTCTGGTTGTACTGATCAGGAAACCGGATGCGAAGAGGTCAGCCTTGGTCAAGGCCAGGGAGGAAGCCAGAGGCACTGTCAGAGACAATGGCTGTCTCCTGGCATTTCTGATAATGCAGAGAGGACTGTCATTTCGTTTGTGAGAACATTATGTTTGTGTAAAAATCACACTGTGGGAAATCCATCCTCTTTCTCCAATTGAACCTTGTTTCAAATGAATTTTTTCATATTGCTTAGAAAACGCTTGGAGCAGTTTCAGTGACTGCTCTGTACTAACCTAGTGTTGGATCTCAGTTTTGTTATTGCATATCATGCTGTGGTGACTCTGAAGACACTTGTGTCTGTCCTTTTGCTTGTACTCCTTTTTAAAGATTTATTTATTTTCATTGCAAAGTCAGATATCCAGAGAGGAGGGAAGACAGAGAGGAAGATCATCCTTCCAATGATTCACTCCCCAAGTGACTGCAGCAGCTGGAGCTAGTTGATCCAAAGCCAGGAGCCAGGAACTTCCTGGTCTTCCACGCGGGTGCAGGGTCCCAAGGCTTTGGGCCATCCTCAACTGCTTTCCCAGGCCACAAGCAGGGAGCTGGATGGGAAGCAGGGCTGCCGGGATTAGAACCGGTGCCCATGTGGGATCCCAGCATGTTCAAGGCGAGGACTTTAGCCACTAGGCCACCATGCCAGGCCCTTTGTTTGTACTCTTAAGGATATATTGCTGCAGAAAAGAACTATTGAGTCTGAGATTGCAAATATTTGGCCTATGATGAATATGTTGCCAAGTTGTGTTCCTGAATGAATGGACCCATTGTGTTTCCCTATGCAGCAGTTTTGTAATTTCTTCGTTTTCTTTAGTATTAACTGTTTGCCATTTCTTAAAGTTCTCTACTACTTCTTCACTTTATTTGGGTAACCTGATAATGGTGTCTAGCTTTATAATTTAAGTTTCTTAACTTCCCAGTGAAATAGATTTTCCTATCAGTGTTAACTTTTTGTTCAGAACCACCATCTTAGTCTGGGAATTGGGGGTGTAAGGAAGAAAACTATACAATTCCATTAGGATGGACTGTGGGGCAGAGTCCACATTATTCTGAGAGGTTAAACAGGTTTATCTCTTCTTCCTTTGCCTTTTCTGTCTGACTTGCAGTCCTGGGGGCTGTGCCACTGTCTCCTCTGGGGCGTCACGTGCTAGAGCTGAGTGCATGAACACTTGTGCGCAGGACTCAGGGTTCACAGGTCACCTGGACCTCATTCCCCGAAGGGCAGCTTTGTGAGATGATGTTTTTGCTTGCTTCAATAAGGAACTAAAGTGTGTGTTCTAGGAAAGTTCAGTAGTTCCTTGCTCTCCTTTTTGTGTCACACAAGTATATGATTTTTTAAAAAGATTTGCTTACTTTGAAAGAGTTATAAGGGGGCTGGAGGGAAGAAGAAAGGGAAAAGAGAAAAACAGAAAAAAAAAAAGAGGGAAAGAACAGCGAGAGAAAGAGAGATGAGTCTTCCATCTGCTGGTTTACTCCCTGGATGGCCACAGTGGCCAGCCCTGGGCCAGATGGAAGACAGAAGCCAGCAGCTTCATGTGAGTCTTCCAAGTAAATGGCAAGGCCCCAAAACATTTGTGCCATATTCTGCTTTTCTCAGGCCCTTAGCAGGGAGCTATATCAGAAGTAGAGCAGCCAGGGCCTGGCATGATGGCCTGGCAGTTAAAGCCCTTGAATGTGCTGGGATCCCATATGGGCGCCGGTTCTAATCCTGGTGACCCTGCTTCCCATCCAGCTCCCTGCTTGTGCCCGAGGAAAGCAGCCAAGGACAGCCCAAATCTTTGGGACCCTGCAGCCATGTGGAAGATCCAGAAGAAGCTCCTGCATCCTGGCTTCGGATTGGCTCAGCTCCAGCCGTTGTGGTCACTTGGGGAGTGAACCATTGGATGGAAGATCTTCCTCTCTGTCTCTCCTCCTCTCTGTATATCTGACTTTCCAATAAAAAATAAATCTTTGGGGAAAAAAAAGTGGAGCAGCTAGGACACAATCCACTGTCCATTTGAGATGCTGGTATCACATATGGCTGTTTTAACCACTATGCCACAGCACTGGTCCCATTTGTTTGATTCTTAAAGCCTAGGTTTGCCCTCTCTCTTCCATTTAGCTGGCACTGGAGCTTTAATTCTCTAGGCTTATGTTCTAGTGATGGAACATTGTGATGTGCAGACGAGTCCTCAATTTGTTGAATTTTTAATAGCGCAGCTGCCATGCCAGGATTGCCGTCTTTTTCATCATAAGGGTTAGCTGCACTAGAAATAGCTCTCCCTGCACGGCTCCCTCGGCGCTCCGAGCACTGGCTTCAGCAGCAGCGCTTACGTCATTGCAGGTTGGCTCTCACCCATGCAGCCTTTCTTCCTCCTGTGATGGTGAGAGTTCAGGTTGGCAGCGATGATTAGATCCCAGCGACTTGTCACAAAGCACCGCCGTGTAGATGTGTGCAGCCTCTTTGTGCAATTGGCTGAAGTTTCGATGTACCAGTAGCTTGTATCTTCATACTGACCTTAGACAGGTAGTGCTTTTCTTTCTGTGCATTCATTTTAATTACGTAATGACACTTGCTTTCTGTCTGCTCTGAAATCAAGAGGTGCTCTCACGGCCTTAGGCATCGACAACACTTGCAGTACACTGCCAAGAGCAGGCAGAAGACACCCCCTCTCCCCAAGCCACTACAGCACTTCTGAGTTCTATGCAACAAGTAGGGTTGGAGAACTTACAATGATGCGACATGATGCTTCCTAGACTATGAGTCAAAACTTTGCAAAATCGGGTGACACTGCAGAGCACGACAAGGACTGAACACTCACCTCCTGCATGTAGGACACAGCATGTGTGTTGCACTTTGCAGGCACAAGGAATGTGCCTCCTGACAGCAGTCTTAGAGCTGATGTTTTCCTCAGCGTTGTCACCTCCGGCAAATAGGCACTCCGTGTCCTGCTTCCTGTATCCCTAGTGGTTCCTCCTGGAAGAGGAGCCCAGTGAGTCGAGTAAGAGGACCCCAGTCCCCTAAAGCTCACACGGTGCTCCTTCCTGCACTCCACTTACTGTGAGAGTCTCAAATTAGGGTCTGCCCCCTCTTCAGCATATTCCATTATCATCACTTTTAGAAGGAAAGAATTTAGTGAAAAAAGATGTAAGAATGGAAGAGCCATACCAATGCTAAAAATAAATATATCAAGGTATGCAGTGGTAGATAACTGTGCACTTATGTATACAGCACACAAGTTCATATATACAGAGTAATCACTTAAAAGGAAGTGAGCTTATAGAAAAGGCAGTAAGGACTTTAAACCATGATATTACTACTAAGAAGAAGAATTGTGGTAAAACTGGAAGAAAAATAAGGCTAGGAATGAAATAGAATATAACCAGCTATTGTCTACCTTGTCTAAAAGATTCATTTATTTGAAAAAGCAAAGTTCCATAGAGCCAGGGAAAGGCAGAGAGAGAGAGATAACTTCCATCCTTTGGTTCACTCCCCAAATGGCCAAGAGTCAGGAACCACATCCAAGTCCTCCACACGGGTGTCGAGGCCCAAATACTCGCACCATCTGCTGCTGTTTTCCCAGGAGCACCAGCAGGAGGCTGAATCAGAAGTGGGACAGCCAGGATTAGAACTGGCACTCTGAGACAGAATCTGGCATTGCAGATGGTGACTTTAAGTGCTGTGCCACCATGTCAGCCCTGCTTACATTTTCTAAAGTTCGGTTCATTTTAGGTTTCTGGTCAGAAATTGTGTATTTCTTCAAAGTTCTTAAAAGACTAATTCTTAAAACAGTGGAGGATCGCCCAAAGCCTTGGGACCCGGTACCCACATGAGAGACCAGGAAGAGATTCCTGGCTTTCTGGCTCCAGACTGACTTAGCTCTGGCTGTTAAAGCCATTTGGGGAATGAACCAGCAAATCAAAGATTTTTTTTTCTCTGTCCTTCTCTTTGTAAATCTGCCTTTCCAATAATAATAAGAGGAAGACTAATTCTTCTACCTGTATTTCACAGTGAAATTTTGAGGTCCACCATGCTTCTGGCTGATACTTATTTGCTGAGAATTTCCAAACTTGCAAGTCTCTTAGAATTGCTAAATAAATTTTTCTTTCTTAGGTGGCAAGGAACATGTGTTAGAAGATGCAAAACATGAATCTTTTAGTGACACTGCTGACTTGGCCCTGCCTCCTGAAATGCCAATTTTGATTGATTTCAATGCTCTGAAGGACATCCTCGGACCCCCGATGTATGAAATGGAGGTAATGTCACTTGCTCCTTGTTGGTGCTCATCAGTGTCCTCCGCGGCTGCTTGCTGCAGCAGTGGAAGAAGTGTTTCCAGGGCTGGATCGTAACATTGGTATTCCATTTGATGCCTTAATGTGACAGTGTCACTATTGCAGGGAGCCAGAGACTCTAGCCATACCCTCTATCTTAGAAACCACAGCATTTCTTAAAGAAATGTCTGCCACTTTCTTAGAAAAATTCTGTCTTCTCTTGTATGTGTCATCAAGGAGGTGGGGGGATCAACCAGATGTGAAGGTCTGAAAACAGACCTAGCTTTAGCCTCACACTGCTGCTAGTGCAGACCCAGATGGCACCCTTCCGCAATCTTGTCCCATTGCTGAAGCTCCTTCAGGGTGAAACACACATCACACACAGCTCTAACCTTACTGGTATCTTTCTCCTCTAAGTGGACCTCACAGGCAGTGGCGATGTCTCAGGTCATTGATTCCTTTTTTTTATAGGAGTGCTTGATTGTTATTGGAAAGGCAGATACGCAGAAAGAAGGAGAGACAGAGAGGAAGAACTTCTGTCTGATGGTTCACTCCCCCAGCGGCAGCAACAGCTGGAGCTGTGCCAATCCGAAAACCAGGAGCCAGAAGCTTCTTCCAGATCTGCCACACGGCTACAGGGTCCCATGGCTTTGGGCTGTCCTCCATTGCTTTCCCAGGCCACAAGCAAGGAGCTGGATGGGAAGTGGGGCCGCTGGGATTAGAACCGGCACCTATATGGAATCCTGGCGCATTTACAGCGAGGACTTTAACCACTATGGTATCATGCCGAGCCCTGAGGGAGAGCTGGGTTGCATCCCTGGTTCCTGGCTGTGACCCTGGCCTGGCTCTGGCCCCAGCCATTGTGGTCATTAAAGCAATGAACCTATGAATGGTATATCTTGTCTGTCTTCCTCTACCCCCTTACCCTACTTCCTCTTTTGGTCTCTCAAATACATACACAAAACATTTCTTTAAAATTACTTTTAAAAAGACAGCTAAGAATTATGAAATATTTATAGGGTGCATAGGTGAGCTTTTACAGTTCAATTACTGGAAAAATGTTTATACTATACTCCTGAGTTTATCTGTATCAGTAACTCCTTGTTAAGGAAGAAAAATTCCCATAAATAATACATTATGCAGAAATCAATCTCCCTAACATTTGAAATTATTACTAACAAAGCTTTATTCCTCAAGTCTGTAGAACTGAGGAGAGGAGAAATAGTTCCCAAAACCACCTTCGTCACGTAGTTAAACTCTGAGTTGGTCATTAAAGCTAATGAGCGTCTCTATTGAATTCTGAGTTACAGAAATAGAACTTGCTCACTCTTAGGAGTAAATCTGAACTTGAACAATAGAATCAGAGGCCTGGTTCAGGTCGTTGGAATTCTGAGATGCTGGAAGAACTGAGCCAAACTTTCGCTTGGGGAAGTAATCCAGAACTCACTCTCGTTCTGAAACAGTCCAGTGATTTAAGGAGTGATGACGGGAGCAGGGTCCTATGCCTGCACATCTGATGGCCTTTACCTGGGCATGCCAGAAAAAAAAATTCTAGTAGTTTTTTGAGAATTTAAAGATTAGCACAAATAAAAAACAATATAGGACGCCAGTTTCCCTTGCATAAACTCTTCGCGGCAGCCATTTCTGCTGATGTTGGCTTTGGAAGCATTGCTGACATTCCTGAAACTGTCGACAAAGAAAAAGCCAGAAGAACAGCAATGAGAAATTTTATAAACACTGCTTCACAGCTCCCTTTGATCACTGAAAAGCATACTTTCCTTGTGGCATCTGAACTTCTGATGAATATTTTAGAGAATACTTTTACCAACACAAATCTGACAAAGGAGATCCAGTGACTGGCATCTTAGAATAAAAGATCTCAGGCCGAGCGCAGTAGCCTAGTGGCTAAAGTTGTCTCTTTGCATGTGCCGGGATCCCATATGGGCACCAGTTTGTATCCTAGCTGTACCACTTCCCATCCAGCTCCCTGCTTGTGGCCTGGGAAAGCAGTGGAGGACAGCCCAAAGACTTGGGACCCTACACCCGCATGAGACACTCTGAAGAAGCTCCTGGCTCCTGGCTTTGGATCAGCTCAGCTCCAGGCCCTTGGGGAGTGAACCAATGGATGGAAGATCTTTTCCTGTCTCTCCTTCTCTGTAAATCTGACTTTCCATAAAAATAAATAAACCTTTTTTTTAAAAAATAAAAGATCTCATGTCTAAGAGTTTACCTGTTTTACTCTAAATTTTTTACCTATTTTCATTTTATTTGAATGTGGGAGGGAGAGAGATCATCCATCCACTGGTTCATGGTTCAGTCCCCAGATACTCACGGCAGCCAGCATTGGCCAGGCTGAAGGTAGGAGCCTGGAACTCAGTATGGTTGTCCCGGGTCAGCAGCAGCAGCCCAGAGACTGGAGTCACTGTCCTTGGCTGTCCCCAGGATGTGTATTAGAGGGTTAGGAGTAGAAGAGGCAGGACTGGAACCAGGCATTCTGCCACGGGATGCAGATATCCCCAGCGGTGACACAAGCTGCTGCAGCCTCTCCCTGCTGACCTGGAGTTCTGCCTGCATGTACAGTGGTCTGATGACCACCAGCACCAGGTGACTGAAGCGCATTGTTCCTCAGCTCCTGCGTGCAGTGTGCGGCAGCCTTACCAGTGCATCTGCTCATAGCAAAGGTTCACTTACATCGTTGCTGGCACCCTTTCTCTGCAGCACGTGAGTGTGGGGCTGGCCCGAGGCTCCTCAGTACCACTTGAGGAGACGGTAGTGGTGGACCCCACACCTCTCCATGGGAGCCAGAATCTGCCCTTTCCTTTTCTACATGCTACTGAAACAAATCTATGACTCAAAAAATCAAATATTTATGAATCAGAGACTTAGGATCTCAGTGCAAAGACTTTAAAGGCATTGCCAGATGGATAGCTCCTGTGGTGACAGCCCTGGCAGGAGCCTGAGTAGTGCTATGTGGGCCGTGAAAGAAACCAGCTGACGCTATAAACATCACCACAGAACAAACCTGCACACACAGCACAGCCATTTGACAGCTCAAGTCTCCATTGTGTGGCACCAAGCTTGGCCCTAGAAAGAAGGCAAAGGCCCATCAAATCATTTGTGCTTCTTTGCTCCTCGGTGCCTGTAGCTCTTCTACTGTGATGCTCTCTGGCCCGCAAACTCCTGGGACTCAACTCAACCCCACCCCAGTGACACTTGCCTTGCTTCACCTGCACTCCATGTTGATAAAATCACCCTGTGGGCACATTGTGGCAGGAGCTCACGTGCTGCTGTCCACAAGTCCATCAGCAATAGGAGGCACATGTTTATGTGTCCCAGGCAGCAGCAGAGCCTGGCTCAGGGCCTGCTGGATGGATGGGAAGTCCCATTCTCTCTCATGGGTCTTCAGGTCTAAGCTTAGAAGAGCTACAAAGAGTTGTGCATAGTTACTGTTTCAGTTCAATACTTCCAAGACCACTATCTAGTTAATCGCCAGGGAAGAGGCCGTATGAACTTGGCAGTAAGTTAGATATCCAAGTGCTCCCTAAACATTGAAGTATTGTTGCAGTTGAATGCTGGGTGACACATTTCCTTATTAATAAGGCTTCTCTTAAGATGATTTATGTACTTCCCCACTCTGCCCATCGACAAGTGTTCTGCACATCACACCTGGGCCTGGCTTGGTCAGCGTAACTGATGATTCCATAAAACAGGCTGATAGCAAGGCCCTGTGGGTTACCATTTTGAAATTATGTTGTCCCTTATTAAAGGAACAGATTGTTCAATTTAAAAGAGTTAGGATGTTGGGAAACCATTACCTTCAAGAGAAGAAAAGGAGCATATATCTTATCCTTCAAGTTCAAATTGACTTGAACTACATCTTTTTTGAAGGAGAAATGCATGGAAATACGATGTGTTTGTTTCAGACCATGTGCCCTCAAAGCTAAAGGTTCTGGGATGGACGTGTGGCACACGGTGGGACACCTGCATCCCATGTCACCTGGGTTCAAGTCCAGGCTCTGCGTTTGATTCCAGCTGCTGCCACTGCAGACTGTGGAAAGAGGCAGAGGGTGTTGCCTCAAGTTGTCAGGTCCTTGCTACTCACATGAAAGACCTGGGTGGAGTGGAGTTCCAGGCTCCTGCTTTGACCTGGCCCAATCCCAGCTATTGTGGATATTTGTAGAGTGAATTAGCAGATTGGAAATTTTTTTATGCCTCTTTTCTCTTCTTGCTCTTTGAGTAAGTTTTTTTTGTTTGTTTGTTTGTTTGTTTTTAAGAAATAAGAGTTTCTGAGCCAAGTTCAATTGGCTAATTTGGCTAATACCTCTCTTTTGAGCACTGGGATCCCATAGGGGTGCTGGTTCATGTCCCAGCTGCTCCACTTTCCATCCAGCTACCTGTTTGTGGCTTGGAAGAGCAGTAGATGGACCAAGACCTTGGGACCCTACGTCCTCATGGGAGACCTGGGGGAAAATCCTGGCTCCTGGCTGTAGACCAGCTCAGCTCTGGCCACTGCAGCCACTTGGAGAGTGAACCAGCAGATGGAAGATCTTTCTCTCTGTCCCCCCTTCTCTCTGTAAGTCTACCTCTCTAATAAAAACAAATAAATCTGGCTCAGGTTCATGAGCCCACCTAGGAGAATGGTCCTTGCTGATGTAGAAGATGGAGTGCTGGATGGCAGACCATAGTGTACATGGAGGACATGGTAGCTCATTGGGGCCTGCAGAAGACATATATTAACATATCAGAGAATGGAGAACAGAACATATGGACAACTACCCAGGCAAATGATGACAGTAAATATCTGAGAGATTGGAGACTATAAAGTCGATGGTGTCAGCCAACATTTTGAGACTATCACATCCAGCTGGGCAGAACCTTTAGAACATGTGCCATTGTGGCCCTGGGTTGATATCAGGTGGCCTTTCCCCATCCTCGGGTACTGGGATGGAGGGGAGGCGGGGTATGGCCTATCCCCTTATCTCTCCCCTCCCCCTAGAAATGGGAAGAAGAAATAGAAAGCTTGGAAACAATGGTCACACCCACTTCTCCTTAACCCTGGATCCTTCCCTGTCAACTAAGTAAATATCTAAAATTTCAAAAAAAAATTTTTTAAGAAATGAGACTTTCTGTACTTTTCTAAGTACTGCTCACCTTGAGCACAGATTCTGGGTCTAATCGTGACAACAGTTCTCCCTCCTGTGTGCTGATGGTTACAGATTGGACAGGAAACCCATTTGCAGATGACTATTAGAACACTTCCTGTCAAGTCAGAGGATTGAGAGCCTAGACCCTGTGCGTTGGCCCGACGTCCAGCAGTGAAGATGCTGCTTGAGACACGCACATCTCAGAGTGACAGGCTGCAGACCTGACTCCACTTTGCGTCCCAGCTTCCAGCTTGCTGCTACATGTGCTCGGAGAGGCAGCTCGTGATAACAGCTCATGTGGAGGCCCTGCCACCAACATCAGAGGCCTGAGTTGAGTCTTAGCAGCCTGGCGGCAGCCAGGTCCAACCACACTGTTAGAGACATTTGGGAAGTGAAGCAGTGAATCTCTCTCTCTCTCTCTCTCTCTCTCTCTCTCTGGGTGTGTGTGTGTCTTGTCCTCCTCTCCTGCTTTTCCCGTTGAAATAAATAACTTAAATACTCACCTTTTGAGCTTTCCATAACTTTTTGGACTACCTTTATATACTTTGACCAATGCCCTCTGAAATGGGCACTTTTTAAGTATGTATTAAAGTGTTTCCACTTTCTGAAATGAATTCAGGATCACCTAAATGGGAGCTGATGAAGGACCTTAAGTAGATAACAGTATCAGGCTCCTTGAAAATTAGGGCATGTGTAGCTAGTTCTGGCTTGTACAAAGCAAAGTCATTCACCTGTATTGTAAGGTAAAATTGCTTTTGTCTCACATAAATGCCAGGTGTTTTCCTCCTGGTCCAGGCAGGAGCCAGCTGTAAGTGGTGAGTGTGACTCAGAACCATGTTAGCATTCAAGTCCTCCGTGGAATATCGGGCATTCACAGGACAGTGTGACGAGATGAGCCAGCCCGGAACAGAAGCAGGCATAACTTGCTGACAAAACTGATATATTTCTTCCTTCTTGTTTCAAGGTGTCTGAACGCTTGAGTCAACCAGGAGTAGCAATAGGCCTGGCTTGGACCCCCTTAGGCGGAGAAATCATGTTTGTGGAGGCGAGTCGAATGGAGGGTGAGGGTCAGTTGACGCTAACCGGCCAGCTGGGGGCTGTCATGAAGGAGTCTGCCCATCTTGCCATCAGCTGGCTGCGCAGCAACGCAAAGAAATACCACCTCACCAACGGTAGGTGAGCCAGGCCTGCGTAGGGGCTGCCGGGAGCCAGAGCAGCTCATGGTCTGTGGGAGATGCTGGGCTCACGTCCAGCTTCGAACCCCTACGGTTCTAATCTAGCCCTCAGATTAGAACTCAGAAGCTAATTCAAGAGATTTGTTTTGTTTTTAATTCTACTTAGAATACATGCAGTTGTCTCCTAGCCCCTCACTCTGGTTATACTGTCCATTAATATTTAGAAGGAGTTTTTTTACCCAAAACATTCATTTTTGTCTCTGATTTTCACCAAAAAAAAAAACAGATTTAATTTTTTTATATCAAAATCTTTTCTCCCTTTTTAAAGCTTCTGGAAGTTTTGATCTTTTTGACAACACAGACATCCATCTGCACTTCCCAGCTGGAGCTGTCACAAAGGACGGACCATCTGCTGGAGTTACCATAGTAACCTGCCTTGCCTCACTTTTTAGTGGGCGACTGGTACGTTCAGATGTCGCCATGACTGGAGAAATTACCCTGAGAGGCCTTGTCCTTCCGGTAAGTGTGAGAAAACCTAGTTAGATGTCCTTATATTGTTGTTTAAATTCTTAGTAGCATTTTTAAATTTAAATAATTGTTTACCTTCTTTCTATAAAAACCTTGGTTTTAAACCTGCATTAAAATTTTATACCTGGGTGCAGTGTGGTAGCCTAGCAGCTAAAGTCCTCGCCTTTCATGCACTGCTGGGATCATATATGGGCACCAGTTCTAATCCCAGTAGCCCCGCTTCCCATCCAGCTCCCTGCTTGTGGCCTGGGAAAGCAGTCAAGGATGGCCCAAAGCCTTGGGACCCCGCACCCACGTGGGAGAGCCAGAAGAGGCTCTGGGCTCCTGGCTTCGGATGGGCGCAGCTCTGGCCATTGTAGCCACTTGGGGAGTGAATCAATGGACAGAAAATCTTCCTCTTTGTCTCTCCTCAGTGTAGTTCATATTTGAAAATCTTGGTCAAATAAAAAGAAAAACTGGTCATTTTTCCCTTTTTAGCCCCATTTTGGCCCCATTTTAGTATGCCATGAGAAACGCCAGCTCACATGCGTACCAAGGAGGCTTTGCTCTGGGTGTTAAGCACTCTCAGGTAGTGTGTGTGAGGCAGTAGAAGTTACTGTCAGGCTTTAAGGCCGGTTCTCACCTTCAGGGTTCCTTTGAGAACTCTTAAGAGTCCTCTTGATTACTTGAAAGGCAGAGAGACAGACTTTTTCCATTCCCCAATGGCCACAATAGCTGGGGCTGAGCCGGATGGAGCCAGAAGCCTCCTCCAGGTACCTCACATGGGGGCAGGAGCCCAAGCATTTGAGCCATCCTACACAGCATTCTCACAGCAGGTTGTTGGATCAAAAATAAAAATAGCTAGGATTTGAACCAGTGCCCATATGGGATGCTGGTGCTGCAGGTGGAGACTTGATATGTTCCGCCACAGTGCTGGCCCCTCCTTGGAGGCCTCTTACAGAAAGATTATTACCATAATTATACCATAGTTCATATACTTGCAGAAAAACTAGTACAGCATAAAGCTATATCTTTGTTAAGATGTATTATACCTGATAGAGTATTTTTCCAAAATTTATCAATCTGCAAGGTCTTGTAGCTCTGTTCCATACCTAAACTATCTGGGACTGCAGAATACATGGAACGTTCGATAGTAATGAGGCTGTTAAGTCATGACTTATCAGTGTCAGTCCACTGTCAAGTTTTGATGGGTTAGACAACAGAATGTGGTAATGGTAAAAGTAGATCATAGAGTCACCAAGATAAAAATGCTATCAGTTCCCTAGTTTTTAAAAGTTTGATTGTGAGGACGCAAGATGGTGGAATAGGATAAGGACATGTTTAAACGGACAGAGAAACATTAGCCAGGGTAAAGAAGAGAGGGCACACTCCAGGAAATAGGAGAGGACAGACGGACGGCAGAGGGGTACCTGGAGACTGATGGACACAGGAAAGCAGCGGAGACAATGGACTGATGTTTCAGTGACCTGATATGACAGTGGCATTCAGCGAGCAGCGATCTGAACTCCACCAGAGGCCAGAACTCCACCAGCAACCAGATGTGAAGAGGACATCATGGGAACTAAGGAGGTGAACCCAAAGAACTGCCTGTCCTGCTGGTTTGTTTGATTTGACCAGGAGTAGAGACAGAGCAGCAGATCCCAAGCAGGCGCTGGTGGGAACAAGATAGATTTCACAGCCCAAACTCCTAGTAGAGCCGAATCGGGCGCCATCTTGTGCAGGAAGGCAGTGGCTATGGGGCAGGACTGCACATGCACTAAGCTAGGAGTGAACTCATTTCGCGCTCAGTGAATTGCAATGATGTGGCATCACTCCGATTCCACCCAAAATAAGTCCGAGTAGCCTTCAGACCTGACAACCAACAGATCAAGAACTCTAGTAGTGGTGCATCAGGTGCCATTTTGTACAGTGTGGCACAGGCTTTACCACTGCAGGGACAGCAGTGAGCTGTGCATGTGCTGAGATGCAAGTATGAGCTCAGTATGGTTGCACTGGTCCCACATCAAAAATAATACCAACTTGGGCCCAGCGCGGTGGCGCAGTGGTTAAGGTCTGGGATCCCATATGGGCGCCGGTTCTAATCCCAGCAGCCCCTCTTCCCATCCAGCTCCCTGCCTGTGACCCGGGAAAGCAGTTGAGAACGGCCCAAAGCTTTGGGACCCTGCACCTGCATGGGAGACCCGGAAGAGGCTTCTGGCTTCGGATCAGCATAGCATCAGCCATTGCGCTCACTTGGGGAGTGAATCATCGGACGGAAGATCTTCCTCTCTGTCTCTCCTCTCTGTATATCTGCCTTTCCAATAAAAATAAAATCTTTAAAAAATAATAATAATACCAACTTTGGCATCTTACAATCAAAACACTTTTTAGGTTCTGGGGTGGCCCTCAGACCTAAAAGCCAGCAAGTTCTGCCAGCGTCAGCACTGCCAGTCAACCTGGCTATTCAGAACACCTGGTGTCTCCCTAATCCTGGAAAATGCATGAACTGGAAGCGGGAGAAACATTGCAAGACAATGTTGCAACAACAGCACAGTTTTACAGGAGGTAGAGTGGTGAGCAAGGAGGTGAGGCTATGGAGACCTTGGTGGCAGTCTAACATAAGAGCCCAGATCTGAAACTAGCTGGAGGGAATGGCACAAGTGACTGCAAATAAAGAACCATGTACCAACCACTATCAGTAAAATCAAATTGCAGACCTGTTGGTGACACAGCTTGGAGACCTTCCCTAAAGAGAAGAATCTGGTAACCAGAAGCACAATGACCAAGAACAAAAGAAAAGACAAAGGCACAATAAATATTATTGAATACCCCCTTGTAAAAGAGCAAAAGCCTTTGCCAACCTCAGAGTTGACTGAGAAATACAACAAGAAAATGGGGGATACAGAATTCAAAACAGTTTGTTATAAAACTTCTTATCAACAACGAGAAGCACATGCAAGAATATAAGCAATATGCTACACAGCAAATAGCAACACTGAAACAAAATCAGGCAGAATAATTGGGAATGAAGGATGCAATAGAGCAAATTAAAAGTTGCATGGAAAGTCTCAATAATAGAATGAAGGAAGCAGAATAAAGAATCTCAGAATTGGAAGATATTTCTTGTCACAGTGGAAAAACAATCAAAAAGCTAGAAGCAGAACTGGGTCAAGCTAAAAAAAAGTACTCAGGAATTAAGAGACATTACCAGAAGGCCAAATATAATAGTTATGGGAGTTCCCGAAGGTACAGAAAGAGAAGCTGGGTTTAAAAATGTATTTAATGAAAGAATGAAAGAAAATTTCCTTAATCTAGAGAAAGAATTGGGAAACAACATCCAGGAGGAACACAGAACTCCCAACAGGCTTGACCAAAAGCAATCTTCACCGTAACACATGAAAATCAAGCTGTCCTCAATCAAACATAAGGAAAAGATCCTTAAATGTGCACGTGAAAAAAATCAATTGACATATAGAGGAATGGCAATTAAATTCACAGCTGATCTCTCACAGGAAACTCTACAGACCAAAAGAGAATGGAGTGACATATTCCAGATTCTAAAACCAAAAAGTTGGTAGCCCAGAATAACTTACCCAGCAAAGCTTTCCTTTGTCTTTGAAAATGAAATAAAATTCTTCCACAGTAAAGTTAAAAAGAATATGCCTCTTCCAAACATGCCCTACAAATGATAAAAATGTTCTCTTTACAGAAAAAAGGAATAGCACCCACCAAAAACAAAGGCAAATGTGAAGAACATCCTGGTAAAATAACAATAGAAGACTAAATCAATATTCCCACCTATTTATATCAACCCTGAATGTAAATGGCTTAAACTTACCAATCAAATGTCAGATTAGTAGACTGGATTAAAAACAGAAAACCCATCTATCCGTTGCCTACAGGAGACACATCTCACCAACAAAGATCAGTGGGAACTGTATCTTTTGGATTTTGATGTTTTTGTTTTTGGTTTCATTTCTTCAAAACATGTTTTTTTCTTATTAAATTCTTTAATGACTTATATATCATACAGTAGCATCATTTTCTTCAAAAAGTTTTTTGATTTCCTTTTTCATTTCTTTAGTGACTCATTAGTCATTCAGTAGCATGTTAATTAACTTCATGGCATTGTAAGTTTCTGTTTTTCTTGCTGTTGTTGATTTCGTTTTGTGGCTTTTGACTTTGGGGGGAATTTATAGCGACTGTGCAGTGAAGACTGACATGTCCAGATGTGAGAATACGGTGCAGTGTGCATCTCTGCTTCCAGATCAGAGATGGACTCCGAGTGAAACTGTTGGCGTGCTGGACTCTGCCATTGTCCATGCCCACAGTGACAGACTTATGACTGTTAATGAGAAACTGTGCTGTTGTAATGATATGGGAGAACTCAGTGGGGGGCAGGGGGATTAGGGGATTGGTAGGGGAAATCCTAGGGCCTATGGAACTGTGTCATAAAATGGTAATAAAAATAAACCGTTTAAAAATGAAAGAAATACCAACAGGTCTTTCCTTGATAGTTTTCCCATCCCAGTGCAGTGTCTCCACTAGTGTCACGTGTCCTGGGTCACACTTCATGTGGTAAAACCACACAATCTGTTTTCAAAATCTGATTCAGTCATCACTGTTAACATATGACCTTGAATAAATTGGCTTTTCATTGCTTTCGTTTTCTTATCTTCAAAACAATAATGTTAATATCACCCAAAAGGATAACTGTGATCATTAAATGAGTTAAGATATCTGGAAAAAACTTCAATCATGACGTCAGTTGTTACGTGTGCTTAACTGTCATGTCTGTGGGCTGGGCTCTTGTCTTCCCCGTCGCCAGGAACTGCCACAGTCCAGGTTCCTCCCCTGGTCATCCTCGCAGCTCTAGGGGGTCACAAGCCTTACCCATGTTCTTCTCTCCTTCCAGGTGGGTGGAATCAAAGATAAGGTGCTGGCAGCACACAGAGCGGGACTGAAGATAATTATCCTTCCTCAGAGGAACGAGAAGGACCTAGAAGAAATCCCAAGCAATGTACGGCAGGACTTGAGCTTTGTCACAGCAAGCTGCCTAGATGATGTCCTCAACGCGGCCTTTGATGGTGGCTTTTCTGTCAAGGCCAGACCCGGGCTCGTCAATAGCAAACTGTAGGCTCAGTCTCAGCATTCTAGAATTTTAAGATATGAAGTAACAAAAGGTACTGGCAAGGTTGATTCTGTTCACATCACCAGGGGCAAGCATCCTGTCCCTCTTCTATGACCATAATCACAACAGCAATGAACCTTAAGTAGTAGCTATTGCTTACTAGAGAAATACAAGGTGTTAATTTAATAAAAGTTGATTATAAATAGAAATCTTGGCTTGAGTGGGCTCTCTTCTGGCTCTGAAAAGATACAAAGCAGTGGTTTTCAGTATGGTCACCAAAAGAGGCGTCTACATTCCCTAAGAACTTTTTAGAACATAAATCTTCAGCTGGCACAGTGGCATGGTACATGCCCTAGTTGCTGCACTTCTAATCCAATTAATACGCCAGGCTCCAGCACCTGGGTTCCTAGCACCCACCTGGACAGAGTTCTGGCTCCTGGAGCAGCCACTTGGAGAACAAACCAGCCAACAGAAGCTCTGTCACTCTACATTTCAAATAAAGAGTCAACCTGAATCAGACCATGGGTCAAGAGCATGGATGGGATGGGGCAGGAGTGTGTTTGGAGAAGCCCTGCAGGCAATCCTGATGCACAGTCACGTTCAGAACCATTGGTTGGTATAGATCATCAGCATGGCATTTTCTCACATACAGTTCAGTGGATTCTGGAACAAGTCACTAGAAAGGGAAGCTAGCAGAGATAAAAACAAAACCAATTTTTTTTTCAAGGATTTATCCTTATCAAGGCAGATTTACAGAGATAAGCAGAGATCTTCACTTCACGTAGGCCCGAGTTGGACCAATCCGAAGCCAGAAACCTGGAGCTTCTTCCAGGTCTCCCACATGTGTGCAGGGATGCAAGGACTTGAGCCATCCTCCTCTGCCTTCCCCAGCCATAAGCAGGGAGCTGAATGGGAAGTAGAGCTGCCAGAACACAAACTGGCACTCATGTGGGACGCTGGTGCTATAAGCAGAGGCTTAGCCTGCTGTGCTAGAGTGCTGAGCCCTGAGGGCCAACTCTTTCTCCTTGTGGAAAATGAACATGGTGATGATGTCTGCACACCCCAGGATGGGAGCCTCCCCAGGCTGAGGGAAGTGTGTCGGGTTAGAACTTGTCTAAGACTCTGTAACATCAACGAGCTCACGTGCTGCCCTCCAATGCCTGTCACCTCAGCTGAGTCCCCATCCCTGCTACTTCCCCTTCTGTGTCTGGTCTGCCTGTGGCCGTTGCCAAGCCTGGTAGACTCCTTACCCACCTTTTCTATGATTTAGTTCAAGATAACTAGAGTCAGCTTCCTAACTATGCTCTTGTATGCTTTCCTCGCAAATTAGAGGTGGGTTAGGCTGCCCACTGGAAGGCTTGAATCCCACATTAGAATGCTAGTTTCAGTCCCAGCTACTCGGCCTCCATTACAGCCCCCTGGTAATGTGCCTAGGAAGGCAGCAGATGGCTCAAGGTCTCGGAGCCCTGACACCCACTTGGGTGGCTCTTGGCAGAATCCTTCCCTCTCTGTCATTCTGCCTTTCTAATAACATGCACGTATAATCTTAAAAAAAATGTGTGTGACCTTATGGTGTAGCAGATTAAGCAGATGCTTACAGTGCCCACATCCTGTATTGAAATATCAGTTCAGGTTCTGGCTCCTGCCAGTGCAGCTCCCTGCTAATGCACCTGGGCAGGTAAAGGCCCAAGTAGCTGGGCCCCTGCCATCCATGTGGGAGGCCCGGATGACGTGCGTGGGTCCTAGCCTGGGTCTGACCTATCCAGGCTGTTGTCAAGGGCACTAGGAGACTCTCTTTGTCTCTGCCCTTGTCTCTCACTCTTTCTCAAATACATAAATCTTCAAAAACATTGCAACCAATACTAAGCAGTTTCTGATGATTACTCCAAAGCAGTAGACCTCTGAGTCTCATATTACAAAATAAGAACAGGTTTGCAAAAACATTGTAGAACTTCCTCATGAGACTGAGGGCTATAAGTTACCCAAATATTATGCTAAGATCTGCTGGAAAAATCTTGCTGGGAGTGTGTTCTGGGAAGAAACGCCCAGACCTAGGGCTACTGTGGCACAGTGGGAGAGCAAGAACATCAGGAGATTTGAAAATATTGACTTGACTATCTTATCATCCATGTAGTTGTGTCATTGCTACTCTTGCCATCTTACAGGGGAGTGAAACTGACACTGTTAGCTCCTAAGCAACCTGCAGGAGCCAACCCACGCTCAGTTGGGCTTGCTTTGCCACACCCAGCTGACTGGTATCTAGGGTACTGATGCAGCAGCTCTGCAACCCCCTGGTGAGCAGAGGGTCAGCCTTTGTGCCCTCTGGCCTCAAGCCAGCCTGTTGTTCCTGAGGGAGCCTCCTGCAGGCAGCCTCCCAGCTCTGCTGCAGCTGCCCCACCAGTGGTGTTTCAGGGATTGGTCCTCAGTGACCTGGAATCTAAGCTGTCAGGATTTTCCATTGTTTTTATTTTTTTATTTTTTTTTAAAGATTTATTTTTATTATTTTTACATTGGAAAGGCGGATATACAGAGAGGAGAGACAGAGAGGAAGATCTTCCGTCCGATGATTCACTCCCCAAGTGAGCGCAACGGGCCGATACTATGCTGATCCAAAGCCAGGAGCCTCTTCCGGGTCTCCCACACGGGTGCAGGGTCCCAAAGCTTTGGGCCGTCCTCTGCTGCTTTCCCAGGCCACAGGCAGGGAGCTGGAAGGGAAGCGGGGCTGCTGGGATTAGAACCGGCGCCCATATGGGATCCCGGGCGTGCTAGGTGAGGACCTTTAACCACTTGCGCCACCGCGCCGGGCCCTTTCTGGTTTCTCTTCAGATCGTATAAATCTTTCGCCTTTCCATTGTTTTTAATTGGAAAAAACAGATTCCCATTTTAAACTCACTACTGTGCAGGGGTGTGAGTTCTCGCTTTCATGGGACTCCCACTCCAACCTCCCCGACGCTGCAGCACGGCCCTCCCGGTTTGTCTCCGATCTCCGTGCTCCGCCTAAGTCCCGTGGCGGCTGTCCTCGGTGTCTGCAGGATCTCAGGCTAATTCTAGCAGCACATGAGGGTTTCTTTATGTGCTTGAACACACTTATGTGCACACGCCACATTTTGCTCATCTATTATCTATCTGTTGTCTCAATGATGCCCAACAGTCGTGTACAGAAATCTCGAGTGTGAAGCCAGCACCGTAGCATAGTGTGTAAAGCTGCAGCCCAGGGCCCCAGCATACCTTGTGGATACTGGTTCTAGACCTAAGTGCTGCACTTCTGATCCAGCTGCCTGCAGATGTACCTGGGAAAGCAGCAACAGATGGCCCTAGTGCTTGGGACCCTGCAGTCATGTGGGAGACCCAGGATCTCTTGGCTCCTGGCTTCAGGCTGGCTCAGCACCAACTGTTGCAGCCATTTGGAAGTGAACCAGCAGATGAAAAATCTAACTCCACCTTTCAGAATAAGTGAACCTTTTTTTAAATTAAAAATGAATATTATGTCTTTTTTTAATATCTTTTTAAATTTTAGATGTTTCCAATAGTTGATCAGGATGGGAAGGATCAAGGATTAGGGAAAAGTGGGTGTGAGCACTGTTTCCAAGTTTTCCATTTCTTTTTCCTGTGTTGGGGTGGCAGGGGTGGGAGGAGTCAAGGGGAGAAGCCACACCCAGTCTCCCAATTGCCTCAGTACCCGGCAATGGGGAACAGCCACCCAGTATCGACCCAGGGTCCTGATGTGGCATACGCTCCAAGGGTTCTGCCTAAATGGTTTCAACAGTTCTGAAATGTCTATCTCTCCAACCCAAGGAGGAAGAAGCCCTTCCAAGGTCCACTGGCTGACACAGTCCACCTTAGAGTCTCTATTCAACCAGATTTTTGTTGTTAATCTTTGGCTGGGGTAGTTGTCCATTTTATTCTGTTCTCCTTCCTCTGCCATGGTTCCAGTTGTCTTCTGCAGGTCCCAGTGGGCTGCCATATCCTCCAAATGATTCAAGACCTGCCGTCCACTGCTCTCTTTTCCACTAAGGAGGACCACTTCTCACAGGCGGGTCCAGGGATCCTGCCAGACCCCTCCCCACACACCCAAGGTTCATGGACCCAGCACCCACCGGGCATGCAGGTCCAAGGACCCAAGCCAGGTGGCCTGACCTGAACCCCACCAGGCACCTCACCCCCAGGGGCTCACGGACCCAGCACCCACAGCATAAGTGGTCCCAAAGATCTGGGCCAGGTGACCTGGACACTCCAGACTCCCTCTCCCTAGGGCTCACAGACCCTGCACTCACCAAGTCAAATCTTAAAAAAAAAAAAAATCATTCCCTACTTTTCAAAAAACTGATTTGAAAGAGATCTCTCATCTGCAGTTCACTCCCCAAATGTAACAGCCAGAGTTGGACTAGTTCAAAGCCAAGATGCTGAAACTCAATCCAGGTCTCTTGCAATGGTGGCAAGAACCCAAGTACTTGCACTTCCCAGGAAGTGCATTAGCAGGAAGCTGGGACTGGAAGCAGAACCGGAACTCAAAATTCACACACTCTGACACGGGACATTGGAGTCCCAAGCAGCATCTTGGTTTACTGCCCTACATGCCAGACCCAAGTCTCTGCTTTTGATCCTTGGAAGTCCATGCAACTTTGTCATAGCAAGACATTTCCAGTAACTTTGAAGACCTCTATACACATGTTGTTTTCATTTCTTTGGCACATTGTCCACAAACCTTTTAAGTATCCTCATACACCTAAAATTGGGGTTGAGTGCTGTCCCTCGAAACCCACATGTTGAGGCCTAGTCATCAAGGTCATGGGGCTGTGGTGATGCAGTCCTGAGGGCCCCAAGCTCAGAGGGCCCAAGGGAACAACCTAGCTCTTCACTGCCCTCCCACCAAGGGTGCCATCTTGGCAGCAGCAATTGAGCCTTCACCAGACAATGAACCTGTCCCACCTTGACCTTGGACTAGTCAGCCTCTAGAACTGTGAGAAGTTTCTGTTCTTCATAAACTGCCCGGTGATAGCGCAGGAGGCATGGAACAATGCTGTGGTGGAATTCTGTGCCAGAGTCAGCAAGTCACCACGCAAGCGCCCCCTTGTCATGTCCCTGCCAATGCTGTCTCTTGAGAGCAGGCTTCCTAATGGGTATGACACAGCATGTTCACATCTCCCTAATGACTAGTGATGATGAGCACTTTTTTCTCATATATATTTGTGTGTGTATATA